GTGTCTTTTTTATATCTTGATTTATTTTCCTTTGTAGCAACCCAGTAGTGGGGTTGCTGGATCATCTGGGTCATATCATAGTTGTATTTTTAGTTCTTCGATAAATCTCCATACTGTTTTCCACAAAGCTGGACTAATTCACATTCCCAAGAACAATGTTTAGGAGTTCCTATCTATTTCTATGCACCGTTGTCATCATCTATTGGGTTTTTTTTTTTTTTTTGAAACAAGAGTCTCACGCTGTTACCAGGGCTAGAGTGCTGTGGTGTCAGCATAGCTCACAACTTCAAACTCCTGGGCTCAAGAGATTCTCCTGCCTCAGCCTCTCGAGTAGCTGGGACTACAGGCACAAACCACCATGCCCGGCTAATTTTTTCTATTTTTAGTAGAGACAGGGTCTTGCTCTTGCTCAGACTGGTCTCAAACTCCTGACCTCAAGCAGTCCTCCAGCCTCAGCCTCCCAGAGTGCTAGGATTACAGGCATGAGCCACTGCGCCCGGCCGTTTTTTGTCTTTTTAGTAATAGCCATTCCGATTAGTGTAAGATGATATCTCATTGTGGTTTTTATTTGCATTTATTTGATAATTAATGATGTCGAACATTTTTTCGTATCCTTGTTGGACATTTGCTTGTCTTCTTTTGTAAAATGTCTGTTCATGTCCTTAGCCTGCTTTTTAATGGGGTTATTTGTGGGCTTTTTTTATGTTGAGTTGTTTAAGTTCCTTGTCAATTCTGGGTTTTAGTTTCCTGTTGGATGTATAGTGTGCAAATATTTTCTCCTATCCCATAGGTTGACTGTTCACTCTGTCATATTTCTTTTGCTGTGCAGAAGCTTTGTAGTTTAATTAAGTCCCATTTGTCTGTTTTTGTTTTTGTTGCATTTGCTTTCGAGGTCTTAGTCATGAATTTTTTGCCTAGACCAATGTCCAAAAGAGTATTCCCTAAGTTTTTTTCTAGTATTTTCATAGTTTCAGGTCTTACATTCAAGTCTGGATTTAATCCCTCTTGAGTTGATTTTTGTATACGATGAGAGATAGGGGTCCAACTTCATTCTTCTGTAAAGGGCAATCCAGTTTTCCCAGTACCACTTATTGAAAAGGGTGTCCTTTTCTCAGTGCATGTTCTTGTCAACTTTGTCAAAGATCAGTTGGCTGTAAGCATGTGGCTTTGTTTCTGGGTTCTCTATTCTGTTCCACTGATCTGTGTGTCTATTTTTATGCCAGTACCATGCCAAGTTTTTTTACTAAAGCCTTGGAATATAATTTGAAGTAGGGCAATGTGATGCCTCCAGCTTCGTTCGTTTTGCTCAAGATTTCTTTGGCTATTTGGGCTCCTTTTTGGTTCCATATGAACTTTAGAATTGTTTTTTTCCATGAAAAATGACATTGGTATTTTGATAGGGATTGCATGAAATCTGTAGATTGCTTTGGGTAGTATGGTAACTTTAACAATATTAATTCTTTTGATCCGTGAGCATGGGAAAATTTTCCATTTGTTTGTGTCATCTAAAATTTCTTTCATCAGTGTTTTGTAGTTTTCCTTGTAGAGGACTTTCATCTCCTTTGTTGAATATATTTCTCGGTATTTGAATTTTTTTTTAGCTACTGTAAATGGGATTGCCTTTTTGATTTGATTCTCAGCTAAATTGTTATTGGTGTATGGAAATGCCACTAATTTCTATATGTTGATTTTGTACCCTGAAACATTACTGAATTCATTTATCAAATCGAAGAGTTTTTTGGTGGAATCTTTAGGGTTTTCTAGATATAAGATCATATTATCAGCAAACAGGGATAGTTTGACTTCCTCTCTTCCAATTTGGCTGCTTTTATTTCTTTCTCATGTCTGATTGCTCTGGCTAGGACATCCAGGGCTACATTAAATAGAAGTGGTGAAATAGAAATAGAAGTGGCTTTCTTGTCTTGTTCCAGTTCTTAGGAGGAATGTTTTCAACTTTTCCCCATTAAGCATGATGTTGGCTGTTGGTTGGTCATATATGGCCTTTATTATTTTGAGATACGTTCCTTCTATGCCTAGTTTGTTGAGGATTTTTATCACGAGGGGATGCTGAATTTTATCAAATGCTTTTCCTTCATCTATTGAGATGATCATTATTTTGATCCTTAATTCTTTTTATGTGATGTATCACATTTATTGATTTGCATATGTTGAACCATCCTTGCATCCCTGGTATAAAACCCACTTCATCATGGTTTGTTATCTTTTTGATGTGTTGTTGGATTTGATCTGCTACTATTTTGTTGGGGACTTTTGCAGCTATGTTCATCAGGAATATTGGTCTGTAGTTTTCTTTTTTGTTACTGTTGTGTCCTTGTCTGCTTTTGGTATCAGTGTGATACTGGTCTCGTAGATTGAGTTGGAGAGAATTTCTTCCACCCCAGTTTATGTATTTGTAATGGAAGAGGGTGTTGGGAGTAGAGAAGGACCCATTTCCATACCAGCTTTACCATGTTATACCCTTGTGCCTGGGAACCAGGAAAGAGGGCAGATCAGAGTGGTTAAAGGCACAGACTAGAGCCAGATTTCCTGGGTTCAAATCCCTGTTCCAAGAACTAATAAGTTATTTCATTTCTTTGTGTCTCAGTTTCCCCTATTTGTAAATGAGGATAACAATACTACCTTGTGGGGTCATTGGGAAGATTCAATGAGTTGATTTTTGTTAAGCACTAAGAACAGTAACTGACACAGGATAAGCCAATCTGTTTGCTCTTAATAAGTCAATGTCAGCCCAGACAATTTGCCTTGTCCAAGGTGCTGATGCTCCCAAGGCCTCAGCCTCCTGGGAATCCATGGCTTGCACGATGAAGCCAGGTACTCCTTGTGCTGTGTTGCTCTTCCAATTCCAAAACTCAAGAGGAGGGTCTCCGTAAATGTAATTGTGGAGCCCTGGATCCCTAATCTTGTCTCTGATGCTCCCTGGTCTGACTCTGCCGCTCACATGACATGTCAGGGCTGCAGTATTCTTCCTTGTCTGTGAGTGAGTATGACTCACCTGTCAGCGCCACCCTGTCCCTCCTCCCCGTGGACAGGGGATTGCTACCGTCAAGCGAGTGGAGATGTGGGTCGGAGGTCAAAGGCAACTGCAAGGGGGAGCTCAAGGGGTGCAATGCAAGAAGGGAGACTCAACAGGGTCCTGGGAATGGGCTTGAGGTGGGCGGCAGGCAGGTGCCCTGCGGCTGGGCCGACCGTGGCCAGGGGCTTTAGGCCGCTCCTCTCCTGCCCGTCCTGGGCTGGGGTCTGGACTGCAGGACGAGTGAGGGAGGCTCCCCATCTGACAGCCATCTTCTGCGGCAGAGGCAGTGGACCTGGGGCTCCTGGGCATGTCCGGGCTGTGGCCCTTGCTGGGGCTTTCTCTGGGAACAGGGGTGGCCCTCCTTGATTTCCTGCAGCCCAGCCCTTACCCTCATACCCTGCTAGTCTGGCCTGGCTTGGCCTCCCCCAGGCCCGAGGCCGACAAAGCTGGGAGCTGATAAGCAGGACACCAGGACCCAGTTAGTCTCCAGCAGTTTGAGGAGTCTCTGGCCACCACGCCTCAGTCTCCTTCCCTTCCAGGTCAGGGCCAGCCTTAGGGAGCATCGCCCTTGTCAGCAGTCTAGTGGGGGCTGACAGTCAAGGGCTTACAGGGCAGCCAGGCCCTGCAGGAGGCAAGGCCCATGGAGCCTGGTGTTTCCCGAAGCTTGAACTTCCTGCCCAAGTGGTCACATGCACTCAAGCCCAGGAAAACTCAGATTTGGCTACCCAGACCCAAATTCAAGGGGACCATCCTAAGGAGGGGACCATCCTAAGGAGGGAAACCAAGGGGACAAGGGACCTTGGCCGATGAAAACACAGCAGCAGCTGAGCAGCTGGGCT